TCTGCAGAAAAATATATATATAAATGAATATTTTTCTCATCTGGATTTAGTCTCATTTGTTTTCTATCTTATCTCAGATGAAGCTGCATCTTCAGGACTTGGTTTCGTTGTCGATAGAGGCCTGCGGCAGTGAAACCGGGCCCATCATGGAGAACAGGAAGTGAGCGACAGCGCTCAGTTCCTCGTGTTTCTGCCCTCATGATTCTCTGCAGTCCACTGAATACCACAGCACTGCTGAGCAGGAAGGCTGCTGTGGGACAGTACAGGTTCGTTTTCTCACATGGATGTTTGTAATCAGCTGTTTTTGGCTCTTTAGAAGTCAGATGCAAAATCGTTTCAGTTTCGACGCCTTGTTACAAACTTTAACAGTGAAAAGCAGCTCTTACTATCTCAGTCTGAGCATGTTTCAGTTCATCAGCAGGGCCCTGACCTTGGAGGCTCAAACGTCAATTTGAAAAGTTTAGCAGCAGAAACGAAACTAAGGTATAAAAAAGAAGTAAATAATAATAGTTTGAATCATCAAAGAACATTTTTGAGGTGGGAGGATAAGAAGATATATATACATGAACATGTACATTTCCCTCTTCAGCCCTCTGATTCTGAAGTAAAGAAAAATAATTATTTAAGCACCAAATGAAGCGATACACAATTATAAAATGGCTGAAATGTCAAGTCAATCTATTACTGGGATTATTTTTGAGTTGCACGTGTCTCCATTTAATCAGCCCAGAAACCATAACATCTTATCCAGCTCCACTTTATAATCCCTGCATAAACTAATCCCTATACAAGCCATCCTGATTGTACATGTCACCTCAAATCTCTGTGTTAATCCCTTGTATTTTTTATTTTTTTTTATTCCTAATGCACCTTTTCCTGCTTGTTTGCACCTTCTTTAATTACTATGCCAATATGTGACCAATGAATTTCTCCGCTGTGAGATCAATAAAGCTCATCTAATCTAATCTAATCCCTACACTGGAGAAATCTAGATAAGTAATTTTTTCCTAAAATAAGTGCATTTGTTCTTGGGTTGAGGAGGTTAGCAGTATATTAAATATTGCAATAAATTAAACTACAATCTACTTTAATCTGTAAAAAGACCAACTTTGAAATTCAATCATTCTACATTTAACTGTTTATTCTACTATGTAATAGATTTCTAAATGTAATAAATTTCTAAATTACTTTCAATCAATGATTAATTTATCTTCAGTCAATTAGAATTATTAGCATTTAACTGAAAAGCTCTAGTTCACTTAGATAAGAGTCGAGTGAAAAAAAAAAAAGCCATGTGGCTTTGATTCAAAATGGCCGACTTCCTGTGAGGTTTGCACCACGGCTCCAAGACATTTTTTTGTAGGTGTCTGTGGGTTACATGTGTGTACCAAGTCTGCTAATCTTCAGTAAAAACATGCTCTGGGGCTGCTTTTTTTTTTTTTTTTTTTTGAGAAAAAGTCTGACTGTGACGCTTGGCCACGCCCACATTCTTTGATGCAGCAAAAATCTCGTTACAACGTTTAATCCCCAATGCCTTAAATCTCTGCATAGTGAATTTTAGGTCTAAAAGCTCTAAGAAGATTTTGATCAGATATATGAGTAAATGAGAGAAAATGGCAACTTGGATCCAAAATGGCCGACATCCTGCGAGAAAAATCAAACTGCTTCCTTTATTTTATTAATTTGTAACATCCCTCCTGCAATTACACTGTGTCACCCCTAGGGGGTACGTCCCCCAGTTTAGTAACCAATGCACTGATGAATCAGCCGATGCATGCATAATTAGGCTGATATTGGTTAGAAATATTGGCCGATAGCCGATGGATTGGTCTATATGGAATAATTATATTGATGCATTTTTAATCAGTTAGAAACATCCACACAAAAACTCAACTGTCCAACAAAATCCAATTAAATCAAAAGAAAGAGTTTCCAATAAACAAAGACACTAAAAAGTGTTTATTAAATTAAAATCCAAAATGTATAATAAACCAAAAAAATATTTAAAGAGCACCCAATATTGACTTTATGACCCATTTATTGACATACAGTGAAAACTAAGCACATGAAGTGGTGGATAAATAAGTATTGCATCATATTTATGGTTGATGGTCATTGTGATTAGCAGTAAATGAAGCATCATAGGAAGGTAGGAGATATGTGACCACATGAGAGACCCTCCTTCCCACCAGACAGCCTGGTATGTAGTTTAATCCATAGCAAGATAAGCAAAAGAAAAGGTTCATTCTCATCTGAGGTCCAGCTGGTTTATTTCTGCAGTTTTGGGTCAGAGTGTGTCGGTGTGTGTAGTGGTGTTGGCGGTCCATGAACCAGACGGGTGTTTTGGGACACAGCTGCCTTAATCAGCTGAGAACACAGATGGGAGACGGTTACAAGGAAATAGGAGAACCTTGAAGAAGCGTTTCCAGGAAGCAGTATATGAGCTGTAAGGATTCAGGCTGCTTATTGGAAAAGGCTGAGCTCAGGAAGGAGGCTGGACTCGGTTTGGGCCTGGAAGGTTTCTAAACGGCCCACAGTGGTGATCTACAGACGGTCCCGCTGAAACTGCTCCGTCTGTTTCAGCTTTTCGCATCGCTGCTCTCTGCTGGTTTCGTCTTCTCAGATTTCACAGCCTGAAACACAATAATCTGTCATCATCATCATCAAACTAAATAAAACGACTGTAGCCTCTTTCACACCAAAAAATAAAGAGAAATTAAATATGTAGAGTCAGCTGGAGTTAAAATGATGTTTCCACCCAGCGGGTGTGGAGGAGGCAACAATGTTTTAGCAGGGCTGACCTTTTTCCTAATGAATGGAGGGTCTTTCCACAGGGTTTCCATGGCAACGCGGCCCTGCTGAGTCCAGACGAAGACCTGATCTCGACTCAGCTGATAAAAGCAAGAAATACACAGAATGAGGGAGGAATCTAAATGAATGAAACTAATCAAGTAAACAATCATTACATGTTATAAACTATGAGAACATATACTGATACAGATACTACTATGTTTAGTCAGTGTGTCTGAAAACGTGCGACGCGTTTCATCATTTAATTCAGCTGATAAATCAAGGGTGATTAAGCAGTCTCTGTCCGCCCACTAGAAACTGCTAGTTAGTTAGTTAGTTAGTCTCTGCTGGATGAGCACCGATGAATAAGTAATCAGCTGCTGTTATTTGTCTGCTTCTTTCAGTCCCATTTTCAGAGAAATGTTTCACTTCTCATTGTTATTTTTACCTGATTGGACAAACATCACTGAGGGTGAAATGTCAACTGCTTTAAGAAAGAGTAGAATGTCCCTCTGCAGCTTCCATAGCAGATCTCACAGGCTTGACAGGAAAGCACCAGTCTGTTGTAATTCAATCAGTGCACCACCAGATCTGGGTGACAGTTTTGCCCTGAAATTGGAGGGTTGTCGGTTCGAGCCCCGGCTCTGGCTTTCAGTGTCTTTGTGTCCTTTAGCAAGACACTTCCCCTGCATCGCCCAATGATGATGGTCAGAAATGTACGGCAGCCTCGCTTCTGTCTGTGAGCCCCAGGGCAGCTGTGGCTACAATTGAGCTCACCACCATCAGTGTGGAGTGAATGAATGAATGTAGTGTAAAGATATATAAGTACAGGCTATTTACCATTTAGATGGTTGCAAATCTTCTACACTGTCCCTTTAATGCCAGCACTATTTAGCACTTATCATGGCGACTGCAGGCGCACTTCTGCTTCGGTTAAAAAGTCTTTACCGCTTCGCTGGGTTTGGATCAAACCACAGAGGAAAGGAAGAAGAAGAAGCAAATATATATGTTTTCCTTCTTTTCTTTTTTAAATCTTGTGGTTAGGGCTGCAACTAATGGTTATTATGCAAAAATTAATTAATCTGTTGATTAATTGATTAATAAGTGGACATCCAAACAGGCCTTAAAAAAGACTTTATGAAATTAAACCAGGTGAAACTCAAAATGTTCTACTTATTTTTTATTATCTTAAATGCAAAATGTGTTTATGTTTCAGCTCTCCACAACCACTATTGAGCATTTTTTCTATGGATAAACTTTACATGCACAAGTGCACCCTCACAAACAATTACAGGTGCTTGGTTCCATACAGAAAGTCTACATTCATATCTTCATTTAACACAGAGTACATGTCAGACTTATTAATACTACTTCAGCGATAGTTTCAAGGTGTTGCTTTATTGTATGTCTCGTACCATAAAGCAACACCTTGAAACTATCGCT